GCCGGGAGCGTGCCTTGTGAGGGGGCCAGGAAGATGGAGCGAACAGCTGCACGGGGACCGCCGGTGGGAGAGCCGTCTGGGTCCTGGCCAGCGTCCCCACCCCGCAGGACCAGCACCAGGCCCACTCAGGGCCGGTGCCAGCTGTCTGCTAGGGGTGGCCAGGGGCTGGAGTCTGGGCCCCGGGTCAAAGCACACTGCTGAGTGTGCTGTCTCTGGCACAGTCCAGGCGGTAGCCACCGGCCGCGGGTGGCCACTTAAATGGGACACAAATTAATTACCATGAAGCAGAGCCAAGAACTCAGCTGCAAACACTCCCTGTGCCCAGTTCCCATTTCCATGCGCTCAGTCATCTTGACCTTAACAAGACACCTCCCCAGGTTCTGCTGGCCAGCCGCGTGGGAAGGGGCAGCACGTAGGCAGGGCTGGACAGGACAGGCGTAGGGAGGCACGGGCGCTCCAGGTCAGGGGGGCCAGGCCACCTTGAACACTGAGCACACGCACCCCACTGGCCTCACACTCTGGGAAGCCAGAGCACCCGATGGAGGGCAGGTGTGCCCAGCCTGGGGCCGCTCCACTGCACTGCCACACAGACAGGCCCGACTTATTTAAGTGCAGCCCACTGCCCTGACTAAGCCAGCAGGAGAAAGGTCACTCCCCAAATGGTGACAGAACATCACACGGTCCAGAAACACAGAGAGGGCTCACTCCTTCTCTCTTTACCAATTCACACACAAATTCACTGTGTCCCAACAGCAGTGCTAGGAGTCACATGCACAAGGGCACTCAGTGCAGCACCAGTTAGAGACTGGCATCACGTCCACTGATGTGGGGCCAGACAGAGTAACCTACGGTGTGCCACACGTGATCATGCTCAGCGGACATCAGAATTCAATAAGGCAACAAACAGTCACAGAGCATCCAGTACCCACTCGTTCCAGGAACCAGACAGGAATACAATTTCTGCTCTAAAGGTAGTGATTTTGGTGGTCAGGGAGAAGGATGTAGAGATAGATAGATAGATAGATAGATAGATAGATAGATAGATAGATAGATAGATATAGATAAATAGACAAGAGCTAGATAGTAGACAGATGATACAAATATATGGATGGATAGAAAGAAGCTAGGTAGATAACAGATGATACAGATAGACACATGATAGCAGATGAACGGATGGATGGATGGATGGGGAATAGGAGATGGGGAATAGACAGATGTGACACAGACATGACAGAATAGGCAGAAAGATGTAATAAATGATAAATAAGATGAATGATTGACAGACGGCTAGAAAGACAGATGGACAACCCAGAGAAGGGGGTCGACAACAGTGACACGGAACAAGGAGGGGGGTGCCATCTAGACAGGAGGGTCAGGGATGAAGCCTCTGAGGAGGCATGTGGGCAGAGTGAGCACAGCGAGGAGATGGACAGGGCACGGAGGGACGGGAAGGACAGGGAGGTGTGTCTGGGAGGAGCAAGTGGATGCAGAGAATGGGGAGGATGGTCCCAGAAGGACTTGGCCTCGGTCTGAGATGCTGCGAAGCAGGGACATAACACGACCCGATTTCCACATGAAGGACGGGTCTAGTTGCTGTGTGGACCTCACATTCCAGGAGATGGGAGTGGAAACCTGGAACCCAGCCAGGGACCATGGCAGCCCTTCAAGGGATAGGTGGGTGGCCAGTTAGGACCCCTGGCCCCCACACAGGAAGAATTCTCTGTGTGTTCTATTTTCTCAGTCTGCAGAACGTGCTCCGTGAGAACAGGTCCCGCCCTCGCGTGGCGGCCATGACTGCAGGGTGGGCATCCGCTCGTGGCCTGGGAGCCCCGGGGAGCCCCCATTCTGCAGTGGGCCTGATGGCACTTCTGCACGTCCCCACTGTCCCTTCCCACCCCTGTGGGCGCTCCATGGACAACGTGGGCAGGAGCCCCTCTGCGCTTGGGTCCAATGTCCTATCCCTTGCCCACCAGTTCTGTAAACCTGAGTCCTAAAAGTTGTACTTATCACCTGGGCTCTGGGGGCTCTCCTGACATGGTCCTGGGGCCACACCCCCCTCCCCATGGCCCACTTCTTCCAACCCTGAGGGCCCTGCAGTGACGCTCTGGGCCTTTTCAGCCAACTGCCCCCAGGAAGGCAGGCAGGCACCTGGCAGGTGCCCGGCAGGTGGAGAGTGCCTGAGTGCGGCAGGTTCACCTCCACGGGGAAGGTGGCCAAGGGGTGGGGACGCCGGAGCCAGCAGGTAGATGCGTCCAGTTGCTCCAGGAGGAGCTGTGGTGCAGAAGGCGATTCAGCCTCTTTCAACCAGCTTCGCTGAGGCCAGAATTCACTGGACACGGCTGAAACCACCGGGGGAAGATGTGCATTCGGGTTCCCTGATGACGAAGGAAAGGGGCCCCGCGATTATTGGTGAGAGGGCGGCAGGCTCCCCTCCCGCACTGGGTTGCTGCAGACCAGCCCGCCTCTGGGGACAGTGATCCGTAAGCAGGCGACCTCCCCCACCGAAGCCTGAGGACAGGTGATGGGGCTGCACCACTCCGGCATGGGGAGCCCACCAGCTCTGCTGGGTTAACCTGAGAAGGAGTCAGACACTTCCCAGGCTCTCAGCCTGGGCACGGCTACATGTCCCAGTGGCTTTGCTCCCCGTGGGGAGTGCAGTGGCCAGGACGGCCAGCTGGAGAGCGGGCACCATCCGGGAGGCTGCCCTGCCTGGGGAAGCGTGGGGCCGCCGCAGGCGCTGACGGCCCAGGCCTGTGGGCACCACGCGGGTGACCATCCGCAGGATGAGCTAGCCCACTGCAGCTCCTGCTGTTGGAGGTGCCGGTCGCGGAAGACGGGGCGGAGTAGGTGGTAAAGCTGTGTCTCAGAGGAGAGTCTCCTGCAGGGCCAGCAACCCGTCTGGGGTCTCATTAGAGCGCAGCCTAAAATCAGCATCCAGTCTCGAGAGCTGCTGTCCCTCCTGCTGGTGTCCACACACTTGACTTGCTGTGTCACCTGCCGGCCACTGCGTCCGTGGGCTGCAAGCAGGCCCACCCGCCCGCCCCGAGCAGGGCCCAAGCTCCTGGTCCCGCACCCCAGAGACCACCTCAGGGGGGCAGGCTGGACCCTGTCCCTCTCCTTCCTCCTTTCTGTGCTGTTTGCTGGGAAACTCAGCTGCAAGCACATGTGTCTGTCTGTGCACCACAGTTTGCTTTTGGGAGGCCGAGCGCTGGGTGCTGGGGGCCAGGTGTGCCCCCCCCAACTCCCAGAACCTCAGCATGTGACTATTTGGATACAGGGCCTTAAGGAGGTTATTAAAGTAAAATGGAGTCACAAGGGTGGCCCTAATCTAGCCTGTCTGGTGTCCTCCTAAGAGAGGAGGCCACAGACATGCACAGAGGGACGACCTCGTGAGAAGGCAGGGAGAAGACTGGTATCTGCCAGCCCAGGAGAGAGGCCTCGGGACAAATCACCCTTCCCACATCTCATTCTGGAATCCAGCCTCCAGGGCGGGGAAAGAAGAGGTCTGTGTCGTTCATGCCGCCCTGTCTGTGGACTTTGTTATGCAGCCCAAGCTGACCGATACAGGTGCCAAGAGGTTCAAGGTGGGGCCAGGGAGAGAAGGCACGGTCCCCTCCCCCACCCCCGACACACACACATCCCCTCCCCCACTGTGAACGAATCCTTGGGGAGTCTGCTGAAGGAAGCAAGGGTGGACAAAGTGCAAAGGGGACCCCTGTTCAACTGTTTATTATAAAACAGGAGGACCCCTGCCATAAATTATGTTTTTCTCCTGGGGACAGGAAGGACAAGCAAGTTCTCTGCAGCCTCTCCCGATAGGGCAAGGCTCGGAAGCGCATCTGTAACCACCAAGACCAATGGGGGCCTGTTTTCCCACCAGGCGGCTGCTGCCGCACCCACCCCGGGGCTGACGGTGGGCACCACCTCAGAGCAGCACCCACCCAGGGCTGGCGGCAGGTGCCACCTCGGAGGAGCACTGCCCTGGGGCTCACGGTGGGCGCCACGGTGGGGGAGCGTCTGCCTCAGGCTGACGGCAGGCCCCACCGTGGGGGAGCACCTGCCCGGGGCTGACAGCAGAGGAAAAAAGACTGCACACGGGGATGAACCCTGACAGCTTATGTGTCTGCGTGCCCGTTTGTTCAGCGGCAAGAGTGTGCCCCAGAACCCCGAGGCAGTGGCCCCCCAGCCCCGAACCTCCCCCACAGAAGCTCCAGGGCGGCTCTGACACCCACCCGAGGGCCAGGTCCCCAAGTCCCCGGGCTCTGGGTCCCCGTGGATGCTGTGACCGGAAGGGGAGAGAGGGGCCTCGCAGGCAGTGTCACAAAGGAGCCAGCAGCCTGCAAGGAGCATTGGCACCGCGGACCATCCCCTCAGCCCCTGTCCTGTCCAGCTGTGGCTTGCTTTCAGCTGGGTGGTTACGGTGACTTCCGGGAAAGCCCGCTCCAGGAGACACGTGGTGCGTGTGCTCTGAGCATCGGTCGTACAGCAGTTAAGGCTGCCGGTGGAGACAAGAGCACGGTGTGTGTCTGGTGTAGAGTGTGTGTCGTAGGGCGTGTGTGTGTGTCTGGGTGGTGTGTGTACGTGGTGTGTGGGGTGAGGTGAGTGTGGTGTGTGTGTGCCCACGTATGTGCATGTGCGTGCATGCTGGGTGTATGTCTGTGTGTGTATCTGTGTGGTGTGTGTGCGTAGCATGTGTGTGTATGTGGGGTGTAGGGCGTGTGTGTAGTGTACAAGGGGTGTGTGTACGTGTGTGTGTCTGTGCGGTGCCAGCGGTGGCCGGCAGTGCGAGGGCAGAGGGCTCCTGGCAGAGCCTGTGGTGGCTCCCACTTACCTGGACCCATCTGCACCCGCAGGAGACGCGGGTTTGACACCGTGAACGTGCAGCCTCGAGCAGCTGTGAGACTGGAAACGGGAGCACAGCGTGGAGGCCAGCACTGGGGGAGCACCTCACTGTCCCCTTGAGAGCGCCTGGTTTGCGGGGACAAGGAGGGAGATCAGAGGGCTGTGCCGGAAATGTTTATTAAAGCGTAGATTCTGCAAACCTCAGTGATACATGAGTCGTGAGAACTTAGCATTAACCGAAGTAGGTCTCCAGAAGACGTATTCGTAAATGTGTTCTTTCACCTGAGGAGTGGTATAAAGATGTGTTTTCCATGGATTCCCAAGAGCCCAACGGGAGCATACTCAGGCTCGAGTGAAGACAGCTCTGCTAAGAGTGACAGAAATAAGGATCCGCAGGCTACGGGATCCTCCCTGGCAGTGTTTCTCTCTGCCGGGACATAAACTGTATCAGTGCGGGCGGAGAGGAAATGGCCACTCCCCTTCCCGTGCTCAGGATGCAGCAGCAGGTGCCCCCGAGACCCCCGGCGTCACCCGGAGAAATTCTGAAAGATGTTGGCCGCCTCCACCCAGCTCTGGAAGCAGGCCAGCCCCCGCTCCCGGATCTGCTTCCGCCCTTTGTCGGTGATGACCTCCCCGCTTGGTTTCACAATCACCAGCCTGGGGATGGCTGTGATGCGGTACCTGGTCCTCAGCTCCCTGCGGGAGAGAAGTGGGAGGGCCGGGTCAGCGGGGGAGTGGGCAGGCCGCCACACCCACGTCCCCAAGGCTGGCTGACCGTGCAAAGCCTTAGCCCCCAGCCTGCCCACACCTTCTCTCCCTGCTGCGAGCCTGTCCTGAGGGGTGTCCCAGGGAGGGGACAGGTGTGCTGTCCCAGAGGGGCGTCCACAGGGAGGGGACTGCTCTGAGCCTGGGCTGCCCATCCCAGAGCCCAGGTCCCAGCTGCGTGGGACCACGGGGCACCCAAGAGGCGGAGGAGCACCAGCAAAACAGAATTTCTCATCTTCGTTAATTTAAATTCAAGTAGCCACGAGTGGCAGGTGGCTACCATATCGGACGGTACAATTCTAAACCCACAAATACGCCCCAATAAATCTATATCCCTCCTCTGTCTCAAGAGGCTGAAAAACACCAGGTACACACAACCATCGGTGTTAAAAACTCTGTGAGTTCCAACAAAGCTGTGTGAGACTTTCTGCCCCTCAATCTCAAGGAGAGGCTGATTTACATTATGGACGACACATTTCTTGGCTACTTTTTCCGTCACGTGTAACAAGAATTATTTGCATTGACGTAGGAAAAGGAGCAACCACCTTCTTTGTCTCTCCCCTTAACCTTCTCCTAAATGAGTGCCCTCAAGACAGGGCAGCTGATGAAGACCCCTCCCCATTCCCAAGGCCACCTTGCAAGTGTCTCTCATTCAGTAATCTGACTGCACTCACCTGTCACCCTAGGGACTGTGGGTCTGCATGGAAGGAAAAACGCACTTGAAACCCTCCTGTTACCAAGTCTCCCCGTCACGTCTCCATCAAGGTCTTCCTGCTGCCTTCTGGCACCCAGGCCAAACACAAAGGCATAAATCAGGGGGGAAGAAGACCTCCCGCCTCCACCCAAAGGAAGAGAGCCTCATCTCAAACGTCCAAGAGACGGTGACACACCCAGCATGTTCTCAGCCACCAAAGGATCGTCACAAAATTTCAAACAAGCAAGAGCACACAGACCACTTAACCAGACCACAATGCAATGAAAACGGGACACCAATACAATGCAGCTTTTGGAATGAGTCTAAAAACTAACCATACACTACCACTACACGTGAAACAGCGAAACAGACCACAACACAATCAAAAGGGAACAATATGGAATATACTTCTGATCTGCAGCCGTAGACACAATCAGACATAGGAAGTTGTGGTCCTAAACACACTTTTCCAAACGACTTGTAGACGAGCTGTGTGACGGACTCAAAAGGCAAGAACAGGACTGATGCAGCAGACACTAGGAAAGGCAGACGGCGGGAAGAAGTCACAGCAGAGGAACGCGCAAGACCCAGTGAGCTTCAAAACGAACCTGGCTGCGGGAAGACCTAACGGGCCAAGGCGCTACCAGCACTGCTCAGGGAAAAAGGAAGGCACGGGAACATCGGTCCGGGGCCCACGGCGGACTCCACCCTGCTTGCAGACCCAGGCAGGCGGGCGAGGTCGCTCCTACTATACCCGACTGCTGCCAGGACCACCGGGTCCCGAAGGAAACCTGCACACAGCTGCCACTCCAGCAGCTTCTGGAAGCCGTTGCTCACTTGAGGAAGAAACAGCCAAGGAGGAGAGAAAAAGTGTCATGTGAGAGTGATCATCATCTGTGGAACAGACACCAGGGCTGACACGCACAAACCACAGACACGGAGAGACGCCAGCCCTGGGACCAGCTGAGGCCTTTGCTGACAAGCCAGCTGGCCCGGCAACTCAGGGGTAGGCTGGGGGGTGGAGGAGACCCCCCCACCAGTGTTTTAAGGATGCTGAACAACCCCAGAAATTTGAAGGGCCTATGAAACTTGCTTTCCCCCAAAGCATAAGACAAACACATGGAGAAAAGAGAAACGGCTGGATAGCCCTTGGCCTGAAGACTGCAGGGAGGTGGCCAGAGGCTGCCACTGGCTTTGTCCAGCAGCTCAGGCAGATGGGTCAGTGCAGGGTCTTCACCCTGGGCAAGGCAGGGTGGGGCAGTGCCCACCACGTCAGAATGGTTCCGCGGGGGTTCTGCTACCCAGGGCCCGGGGCTTACCCCCAAGGCCAGGAGGCCCCGCCCCACGTGTGCAGCAGCAGTGCTAGGGGCACAGGGTTCCCATACCAGCAGCAGCAGCACCAGGGAGCTCATTACAAGTGCAGAGTTTCCTGTCCCTGCTGGGGTGGGGCGGGTGGAGCCCACGATCCCTTGGGTTCACGCCTGCTGAAGCATGCAACCCTGCCAGTCTCCCAGGGCTGCCTGCATCCCCCTCCCTCCACCATCCAGTCACCCTGGGGATGGGGGAGAGAGCAGGCAGTAAGGGAAGCTGAGAACGGTGCCCTTGATGGCCTGGGCGGTAGAGGCATGTGGCTCCCTGCTCAGCATCCGTGACCCTCCACCTTCTGGTATTCACTAGCCGTGGGGCTTGGGCAAGCTAGCTAACCTCCCTGTACCCCAAATTCCCCATCTGTACCATGGGAAATACCTCCCTGGGTTGTTGGGAGGTTTAGATAGTTAATATGCATACGGGATAGCTAAGGGATTGGCACGTAAATGCTCAGAAAACACTGGCTGTTATCGATGGAGCCACGTCCAACCCAAGGTGGGCCAACTGGCTACACCAACCAGCACCGGAACGGGTAACCAGCAGACTCAGAACTAGTGCGACTGCACGGAACACTTTCATGTGAGCTAGGAGAGTGGAGGGTGTGAGATTACGCAGCCCGAGGCACAGCAGCCACTCTGCCACCATGAGGAGAGACTGCATTTGCCAAGTGGCCCCTGGCTGCAGCCTCAGCATGAGGCAGGCATGGCAGAAAGCAGAGCCATGAAATTGTCCTCAGTGGTTTCCCACCTCCCTGGAGACCAGCTCCTGGCTGCTGGGCGTGTAACTGAAGCCCATCAGTAAATCTTTATAGTTTAAGCTTTGGGCTGCTGCTACTGCTGTTTCACTCCCTCGCAACATTAATTCAAGCTCTGACAGGTGTCGGGCGGGGGCGGAGGGGGGTGCAGGCAGGCTGGGTTTTGAGGAGTGAGGAGGAGTCTGGAATAGACATTGGCTCCAGAGTATCTGCAGTCAGCCGTGTGGGCCCTCGAATCCCCAGCCTGGCAGCGTCTGCGTGGAGACGACTGTAACCCTGGAGCTGCACAGAGAGGCTCGCAAGCACCGTCTCCACCGGCAAGCACCGTCTCCACCGGCTTCGGGCGCGGTGTCCTGCGGGAACGGACGGCGCCTTGGAAGGAGAGCCCTGTGGCCGCACAGAGTGGAGGCATGAGAACTCTGAGAGCGGTATGCTCTGGGGGAGTCCGAGGGCCCAGCTCGGGGCGGGCGCTGCTGCGACAGTGGCTCCCTCCCTTCACCTAATAGCGTGTCCTCCACTGGCACAGCCACTTCTGGGTTGTCATGGCAACGCTGGTTCCAGTCTCTTCCCCCCCACCCCCCCCACCCCCCGGGCCAGCAAATCTCTGCAGTGGCTCCAGCCAAGGAGCAGCCCACAGGCGCCAAGCACAGAGCAGCGGCTGCTTCCACCCTGAACGCTAGAGACACTGCTCACATGGGTGGCGCTGGGCGCAAGACAGGCATGGGCCTCCCGGGCCAGAAATGCCCCTCATGTCCCCAGTGGCATGGATGAGGAAGAGGGGCTGCTGGGCGGGGAAGTGAGGGCTCCAGGTTTGGGGGGCTGCAAGCATGTGTACGAACTGTGGAGGTGGGAAAGGTATGGGGTATTCTGGAACACTGCTGTCCAGTCTGCAGAGGGGGTCACAGAAGGCTGGGGCAGGAGGTGAGTATGGGGCAAGTGTGGGAGGGCAGGGCAAGACGTGGACTGAGCCCCCTGGGCAACAGGGACCCCGGAGAGCTGGGGTAGGCACGGCAGGACCAGGCCTGCCTCAGACAAGAAAGATGAGGTGGGTTCCAGGACAAGAGTCCATTAAACATGGACACTGGGGTTGAGGTTAGAATATTCCAATGGTCCAGGCCCTACCTGAAGGAGGTAGCAATGAGGAGGAAACCAGACTCAGCAGATTCAGTGCCTAATGGGGACACGTTGAGTCAGGAGGCCTGGCAGGTGGGGGGGAGCTGGAACCCAAGGCTAGGGAGATGGCAGGGGGCACAGGCACCCCACCAAGTGGGTGGCTCTGACGGAGCCACTCTCCACCCATGAAACGATGCCACGGCCAAGTGTCTTTTCTGTGTAGTGCCAACCTGTCAGGAGGCATCCCATCCTCCTGGCCCACGGTGGGGGGGGTGGTCAGCGCCAGAGCAGACCAGAGCGGGGCAGAGTCATGTTGGGGGCCTCCCGGGGTACCAGAGCCCAAGTGGGTACCAGCATAATCATAAAGGCCATGAAAAATCAACACTGAGCAGGTCTTGCGTGTGACAGCAGGAGACAGGAATTCCTGCTGGCACTGGGCCCATAACAAAGGGAAAGGAGATGGGCAGGACACCTGTCCTTGGTGTCCACAATCAGGCCGCTCGCCCACCTGCACACAGGCACCAGCCGCAGGGACTTCAGTAGACATGTCTGTCTAGGGCTGTCGACCCCCTGCAGCCACATGGCCTCCAGCCATGCCCAGGGCACCCGTGGTGGCTCCCCAGTGATTCCTCCTCCTCCTCCCCTCACCTGGGACTCAGTGGGTAGCCGCTGAGGAAGAAAGCCCCAGGGCCCTGACCATGACTGACCTAGCGGGAGCAGAGCACTATCCCGGCTAGAATAAGGGAGTAGCTCCAAACATTCTCACAGAACATCCCACTTCCTACCACAGAAACTGCAAGGACAGAGCCAGTGTGGTGCAGTTTGGAAAGAGGAAGGACGGGGTCTCACCAGCAGAAAAACTGACGCTGGACTCTTCTGGAGACCACGCTGGCCTCCTGCTGCCTGCAGTGGACCCTAAGGGCTCTGACTGCAGCACAGGAGAAGCAGGAGGGAGCTCCGCAAGGCCGTCCCCCAGCGAGATCCCAGGTAGCCCCGAGGAGAAAGAGGGAGGAGAAGCTCTAAGCAGAGACTCAGGTTCCAGAGCCTCAGCGGCACATCTGCGAACCGGGACAAGGTGCTGGCACGTGACCGCCAATGGCTCCAAACTCCCGGATCAGGGCCGCCCTCATACACAACAGGGGCCTCATCACCCGGCAGTGAGCCCCCTTGCCTCCATCAAGCCACAAAGAAATCCCCGACCCTGAGCGCTGCCTAGTTACCCACATGGTCCCTCTGCCACTTTCAAACCTGTACTGGTTCCAAGGCCGTGCATAACTCTGGTGCTAAGCATATCAGAGGCATTCGCAAACACCACCAGAGGAGATGCTACGGCGAATCCCTCTGCCAAGTAAGTCACTGGGACTCACCCTCTCAAAGTTGTCACTTGGGTTTGTTTCCATTGTCGCGTAAACTAGACATCTTTAAGATGCTCCTGGAGCGAGGCCTGTAAGAAGCAGGTGCCCACCTGGAAGGCCTGAGCCTCACCTCCTCCTCAGCGTCCCTGCGGCATGTGTTTGTGGGAAGAAATGTTCTTCTACGGACCTTTCCAAAGCCCCCTACCACTTTTACCTGTTCACGAGCCAATTCATCAAGACAGCTCAGGGAGGGAGGTGGGGGGTCCACCACAACTGAATGGTAGCCCCCCCCAGGACCATAAATGAGAAACATGCCCTGTAAAACACAGCCAGAAACTCACTCCATGTCCATTACAAGGATGGTGGGGTAACACCGTGTGCAGAGTGTAAATGCTTCCACCACAACAGGGACCCCAAGGTGCAATCAGAGCCCAGCCGCACTCCAGTCCACCAACCCTCCTGAGATCCTCCCCACCCTCCCTCCTCCTTCCCGGCTCCCCCATTCTCCCACCTCTTCCCTCCCAACTCCCCCCTCCCACCTCCTCTGTCCTCCCTCCTCCCTCTGGCCTCCTCCCTGCCATTTCCTCTGTCCTCCCTCCTCCCTCCTACTTTCTCTCTCCTCCCTCCTTTCTACCTTCTTCCTCCTCCCTCTTCCATCCCACCTCCTCCATCCCACCTCCTCTCTCCTCTCTCCCACCTTCTCCCTCCTCCCCAGTCAGGTCCCTACCCCCTGGGGATTTTCTGACATTAACCCCAGGAGCCCAGGGACCTGGTTCTTCCTACAGCTGTGGAAATGGTAAACACCTTCACTTTCAGGCAATTCCAGGCCTGGCAGCAATAACCAAGCCGCACCCCGGCCAGCAGAGAGGGAGTTGCTCCAGCCTTGGAGTTCTGTGCGCCCCTGGGCACTGCCCCAAGCCGCTCGCGGCAGCCGACGCAGAGACCCAGTTCCCACGCGAGCCTCCCGAGGCACCCTCTCCTGCTTCCACACCCCTCCCCGAGTCCCACCACCGCTAGGCTCTGCAACAGCCACATCACCAGAGCTCCTTGGAAACGCAGACCCGCTAAGTCGGGGCCCGGCTCTCCAAGTCCCCAGGGATGCGGCAGCCCCACGGGACCCCTCGGGGGCCTGGGGTGGGGGGCACGAGCGACGCCGGGGAGGCCCGCCCGAGGGGTGGGGGGGAGGGACGAGCTCCACGCGGCCGCCCAACCCCGTCCCACTCACTGCCGGAAGGGATCGTGGAAGGGCAGCGCCAGCCAGGCGCCGTGCAGCTCGCGCATGAAATCCAGCATCTCCTGCGCGCTGCCGTCGGCCGACACAAACACCACCGCGAAGGGAGCGGGCGGCCGCGCCTCGGCCACCAGCTGCGCGTAGAAGTGGCAGAGCAGCGGCGTGAAGTCGCGGCTGGGCGCGCACCAGCCGGCGGCGAAGTACAGTGCCACCACCTTGTTCTGCAGCTCCTCCTCGGCCTCCACCCACGCGCCGTCCCGGGTCAGCAGGCGCCGGCCGCCCAGCACGTCCACCATGGCTTGGGAGCGGACACCTGCGGGGGGGGGGGGGGGTGGGAGCAGGGAGCACGGGCGCAGGGACACCCGCGGGGGGCGGGGGCGGCGAGGAGCGCGGGCGCACGGACACCTGCGGGGGGCGGCGGAAGCATGGACTTCCACGCAGCACCCACAATTTCGGGGACGGATACCTGCGGTCGCGGAACACCTGAGGGGGACGGCAGTGAGCACGGGCGCACCGACTCTTGCGCGCGCCGGCAGTGAGTGCAGAGGGACGGTCACCCGCGGGCGGGCGGCGGTGCCGCACAGGACCCGCTCGGGCTGTGACGCTACCTGGGGCCCCACCTGCTCCTCTGCCCCGGCCCCGGCTGCGACACGGGCGTGAGCACTTGAGGGAGGAGGGACACACAGACACCCGCGGCGACCCCTAAGCGGCGGCTGCGACAGCACCCGCCTCCCGGAAGCCGGGCTGCCGGGCCCGCCCTACGCCTCGCCCACCACGCCCTCGCCGGAGCTCCGCCTGCTTGCTCTCCGCCCCGCCCCTCCTCTCCTCTCCGAGGGCCCCCACCCGCTCGGCAGTGTCCCCAGTGCCCCGCGCCCCGCCCATCTCCGTTGCTTGTATCCACGGTCCTCTCTGCGCCCCCGCCCCACGTGTCCTGATGATCCGAGAGATCACAGTATTAAAGTACCAAGGCACCGTGGAGGCCCTCAGGATCCAGCAGCGAGCAAAATAATTTCAGCTCCTGCGCGGGCAGGGGCGGGGAAGCGGAGGGTGGGGAACTCGGGGGAGGCGCAGATTTAAGGCATTTGCCGCAAAAAAAAACTCAGTGATCAAGATGAATCACATTCTAAGGCAGTATTTTAAAACTTCAAAATCAATGGAAAAAACTTCACAATGAACAAAACATCAAACTTGTAAATAAGGGCAGAATCCTGCCTGCCCCACTGCCGGCCGCGACGCGCGGCGGAAAAGCGCGTACTGGACTGAGCCCCGCGCGAGGGCGCACCCGCCGACTGAAGATTCGGTCCGACCCACGCTGCCCCCAGCAGCGCGCTGCCAAAGCCGCGTTTCCCTGTGGAATTGTAAGACCTGGGGGAGATGCAGGTGAATGGGAGAAAAAAGCTGGGAGGGGGCCCTTGCAGGTGGAGGTCCGACTTTTGTTAAAACTCAGGAATATGATGAATGGAATGCAGCTAAAACTGTGAATGTCAAGACTGTCTTGATCTGTTTGGCTTTTTGCCCTTTTGTCTCAACAGTGAGCGAAGTAGAGAACGTTCCTTTCAGCGACACACTCCCACGGGGGAAATTTCCAGTTATCTGTATAAATACTGAGGTGCCTTCCTGCAGCCGCGGTGAAGCCTGCGCAGCCTTCCAGGGAGAGGAGATGTGGGGAAGCACCCCTCCTCACCAGGGGACCCTCCTCTGGCTGCTCTGAGTGTGTGTGTGAAGGATGGGGCCTGCCCTCCAGAGCTCCTCCAGGGAGCAAGGGACACTGGTGCTGCTCTGCTCATTCACCTGCTCCACCCATTGTCAAGGGACTTCTCAGGGCCGTTCCTGGGCATGAGCCTGTGTCTTCAGACAACCATCCCACCCCACTGGCCACTCCTTAAGGTGGAAGGGGGCTACAGGAGCCATGAGAGGCAGAAGGAAACCCAGAACCCTCTCCTGCCTCTGCTGTCAGTGTCCCGCACAACTTCCTCCACCCAAAGCAGGAACAGCCACAAATGCAGTCCCAGAAACAGGGCTTGCTGTCCCTAATCCCCGCTGGGACGCTCAAAGTCAGTTCGTACTGGACTTCCTTGTGGGCATGTAAGGGTGCCTTGAACAGGGCATCTGCTAAGCAGCTTCACATGCCCTGGATAACCCCAGCCACGCTGGACAGCGCTCCTACTCCTGAGGCTTGTGAGCAGCTCCCGGAGGGCCTTCTTGGGTCTGCCCCCCTCCCCGAACTCCCTCTCCCTAACCCCTGCCACACCTACACAGTTTGTGACCTAGACTCTGCCCTACCATCCATCCCCCACCCAAACTGCATCTCCTCCTGTCTGATGACAAAAGTCCCCGGAGGCTCCCAGCATGCTCCTCACCTAAGGTTGGTCCCTGGGCCCCGTCCCCTGCCTGCCAAGAATCCCACTGAGTCAGCCCCCATTCTTGATCACCCTGCCTACCTTCACCAACAATCCCCTGCCCTTGGTGTCTCCTCTAACTGGCTTTCCATCCGCCTCCACACACTGACCCCACCCCACCCTCTCCCTTGGCCTGTGTTCAGAGTTGAGCTCAGCTTTCCGCGCCCCCTCCCGCCCGCCGCCCGGGCGCCCCCGGCGGTGGTACTGAATAGAATCTGTTCATCACCTTTAACTGGCATCCAGCTCTATTCCTCCCGAGCAGCTTTCAAGAGCTCTCATACCTCGGCTGGCTCACAGCCAGGGCACTGACTGTGGGGCAGAATGTTCCTGGAGCTAACACTGGCTGGTTGGCACAGGAGACTGCAAAGCCTCTCTGGAAAGAAACGCTGTGGTACGATCATGGCTCTGCCTGTCTGTGCTCGGCAAGCAGGCTCTCCCCACTTCTGACTGAGGCTGTTTCTCAGAGGAAGTATTTTTCTGAGCAGGAACACCTGGGAAGTCCCCAGCCAGCATGCCTCTTCCCCACTCCGTCTTTGGATGCTGCATACCGAGTTGCGTCTATGTTCCAGAAGAGAGGCACCGAAGAAACAGGACCCGAGGCCACTTGCCATGAAATAGACTCTTTTTTTTTCACTACAAGATGTACACAGGATGATTCATTTATTTCTACCACTAGTTATGAATACACAAATATTCTCATGGAAGCTTTTTCTGCTCTGATCAGCACAGCAAACAAATTAGACCTCCCAGTGTGCAAATATCACACTCTGAATTTCCTGGTTTTAAATATTCATGCTGGAGTTATTTATTCTCCTGTACTTAAGTATTTGTTCTCAGGGAATGACATGAGGTCTTCATGGCTCACTTTTAAAATGGTGGTTGACCAACTGCGGGGAACGGACGGCAAAGTGACGAACAGAAGGCTGGCTTTCTCCGTGACTAGCTACGGGGTCACAAGCAAGTCACCCCACAGGCCCAGCTTCCCAGACACAACTTCGTGTTTAGAAGTGGTCAAAACAGATATGGTCTTGGGCTGAGGAAGTGCTCCCCGGCCCCACCAGCTTCTTCCCAGTAATGTGTTAGATGGTTCTAGAAGCATTTGTGCTGCTCCAGCAGATGGACTGAAACACAAAACGCAGGCACAGAGAGAAGGGGACAGTGTGCCTCAGGCTCCCCCGCTGCCCTAACAGAGCCGGTGGCTGCAACAGCAGAAACTCGCATCTCACAGCTCTGGAGGTGGGAAGTAAGCTCTGGAGATGGGAGGTGCTGGTAAGCCCCTGCCCGGCTTGTAGACCACCACCTTCTCCCTGTGTCCCTGCAGGGCAGTGGGGAGAGCTGTCTTCCTCTTCTTTAAAGCTACGTCCTATCAGATCAGGACCTTGTTTACACATCATTAACCACTAAAAACCCTACTTCCAGACACAGCCCCATTGGGGGTTAGGGCTTCAGCACGTGGAATTGGGGGACACGGCTCCACCCACGCGCAAGCAGTGCGTGTCCCTGACCCCAAATGTTTAAGAGAAAGCCTGGGCTGCAGTGCCCTCTGAACGAGGGAAAGTAAGGTGTGGAGGGAAAGAGCAGTCCTATGGGTGTCCCAAGTCAACAGTAAACCCAGCAGGGGGTGACAGTAGTTCAGGTGGATGGGTGGTGGGGGGAGGCGTTCAACAACTGCACAATGGCTTCTATGTGCCAGGATCTGGAGAGACTTTAATCATGTGGGACAAGGCGCCGTGCCATACAGGACACGGCTTCATTTTCTCTTTTTGAAGCTCACCCCCATATCCCACCAAACCGTCCTCAGAAATGTACCCAGTGAGGTGGGGGTCGCACCAGGCTGGGGGTGCCCTTGCCAAGGGCTGTGGAATCTGAGATGCGGCTCACGACCCCTGCCCCATCTCTGCAGGAGCAGCCTGGCCGACCCTGCACACCGGGTATGAGGTCTGGCGGCTAGACCGCCCCTCCCCAGGGAGGGTGACCACCTGGTGGCGGACACCTCCCGGACACCTGTGTGGTCGTGAGGCTGCGTGCCCAGGTTCCAAGTCACGAGAACCGGTCCCAGTTGCAGCGAATGGATCTGTGCATCATTTCCGCGTTGGGGCACCTCTCCACGGCTCCCAACCGGGGCTGGCCACAGCAGCTGCTAGGCCTGGCGCAAAATGAAAACCCGGGGCTGGTGGCCGCACTCAAGTGTGCAAGAAGCTCTTCCCTTTCTCCAGTGGCTCTCGCTTGGCCCGTCATGGTTGAATGTTCCATTGTCTTGGGCACAGGGTGAACACGACCTTCACACTGGCCCAGGGGGCTGGCCCATGAGCGGCCGCACAGCTGTTGGGTTCTCTGTCCTGCCAGCTGCTCCCACCACCGTGCCCACCCTGAGACTCAGCGAGACTCACATGTCCCAAGGGGACCCTCTGCACCCCACACCCAGGTGGAGTCGGGACACTAAGGGACACCAACAGAGGAGGACAGAGCAGTCTGGAACCCGTTCCCAGAAGGCTGTGGGGCAGTGGGAGGTGGGAGCGTGCTTGAGCCGAGGTCTGAGCCCCTGAGATTGCAGGAGTCCACGCCCGATGCTGGACCTGCTCCCAACACGGCAGCAGGACATCCACACGACACTGGCTTCATTTAACTACTTATATCTGCAACAACCCGCTTTCCAAGTGATCCTGAGGTTCTGGGGGCCAGGATGTCAGCATACCTTTGCTGAAGGGACACAATTCAACCCCTAACAGCAGCGCTGAGAACGGACAGTTACCTTCAGGGCAGGACTGGAAGGCGGCGTAGGAGGGCAGGCCCAGGAGCAGGTGGGGGGTAGGGGGTGGGCTCGGTGGGCTGGGGACAGGGAAGAGCAAGCATCTCCACGTGGCTGCAGTGGCCGTGTGCAGGAAGCTGATAGAGGACGAGGGAAGGAGGGCTGTGGCAGCTCGTGGAGGGCCGGGCGCCCGGTGCATGGTAAAGTGGGTGGTGTGCATTCACGCCATGCACCAGGCACCGTGTTGGGCACTTTACCTACTTGGTGTTATCCAATCTTCACAAAAGGCTTACGAGGTGTTGCAAAAACAAAGTAATAAATGTAGCTCCTCTCTTTGTAAACAAACTATGAAATTGGAAATGTGGACTTTGGTTTTATTAAAATGAGAGTGAAATCCCAAAGTACTGTTCAGGTACTGTGCTTCCTGTTGCTAACCCCATTCTCCCTGCCTGCCACCCACCACATGGTGTTAGGACAATCCCAACACCCTCCCCAACCTCCCTCCTCAATACCTGCCCAGTGAGATGTGAGGCTCTTCCTGGAATGGTATTCCTCTCCCTGATATGAAGGGAATTTCTCGAGAACCCCCTGCCTGGTGCTAACCTTCTTTCTAACTTTGAATGCTAGTGAGGACGTGATGTCTGGAGCTGCTGCAGCCATTCTGAGACTGTGAGGAATAGGCCTAGAGAATTTCAGAGATACTGGCCTAGTCCTCTGACAGCATGAGCCACTGAACCCAAACCAGCAACTACCAATCTCCAGGATGCTTACAGATGGCTTCTGAGGAAAATAAACCCTTATGTCAGCAGTTTTCACAGTACGTTCTGCAGAGCACTAGGTGACATGAGACCCTCTCAGGTGACATGCAGGTTGAAACTGTCCTCATGGTAACACTTAAGACAGCAGCTGCCTTCCTTGGGTGCTGACACTGGCCCTGAAGGTGCACAAGGAACAGTGGGGAAAAGCTGACACAACCTGAACCACGCCCGCGGCACCACACTGTACTCAGTGGTCAGCACATTCTTTACCTCCATGCAATCATGGTGAAAAGTCCAGTTTTCCTTAAATTTCATGATGGCCCCATAGGAGTTAGTAACTTTGCCTGTTCTTCAGAAAAAGCACCTACAAGATGCTTCTCCGTGAGACACGGGATAGGCAGGTTTCCATTTCCCAACAGACACCACGTGGGCAGCAGAGGTCACCTGTGGCGCTGCATCAGGAAACCACAGCCACCTCCAGTTCTGAGTGAGGTTTAGAACCCAGGCATTAATGTAATGGACATTCGTAGCAGGGAGGAGTGTTCGTGCGAGTGTATCAACCATGAGTTTCTGATGTGTGACATCAGGCTTTGTTGACCTGCAGGGACAGCCCGCCCCCACCCCCTCTCC